TAAACCTAACCTAAACTTAAATAAAACTTATCTAAATCTAACCTAAACCTAAATAAAACTAACCTAAACCTAACCTAAGGAGAAACTAACCTAAATAAACCTAACCTAACCTAAACTTAAATAAAACTTATCTAAACCTAAATAAAACTAACCTAAACCTAAATAATCCTAACCTAAACTAAACTTGAACTTAAATGAATTTTGAACGAATTGATGAGAGATGAAGGAAAATGAAACATCAACGTTTCGTGAAAATTGACTCGAAGGTGAAAGGTAAAGTTCAGGAAATTTGAACTAAACGAATTTTAAACGAATTGGTGAGAGTTTCGTAAAAATTGGAGAAACTAACCTAAAAACGAATCTAAAAATAATTATTCAATTGTACCAAGTGGATTTTGAACGAATTGATGAGAGATGAACGAAAAGCAGAAACGAAAAATTTGAATTTGTTATTGAAACGAAAGAAGCTTACAGCAGCCAGTCGACGGCGATGACTAGGAAGACGTCGTCAGCGGGAAGACGGACGGTATCCAGCACCATCACCATCGTCACGAGACCAGCTTGCGGAATGCCAGCTGCACCGATGCTTGCAGCAGTCGCCGTGATACTAAAGAAATCTCAGTATTAAATATTTCTTTAACTATGTTGGACAGTGCCATGGCGACACGATCGCGATGATTACTTCCTCGATGTAACTGCGAGAAATGCAACGCGATAAAAGTAATGGAAAGTAAAAATTACCTATTTATGCACGTGGCCTAGGTTTAATGGAAGAGAAAGTAATTAGGATAGAAAGTTTCAATGATATAACGAAATCAAACGCATTATACAGAGTGGAAAAAGAAGTTTGTCCGTAGCTGTCATATATGAATTCTACACCTTCGATTTGATGGAAATACTTGTGAAAAAGTATTCAATGAGTTTGGTTAAACTAGAGCCGGTTAACTTAGGTTGGGATAGCTCAGTCGGTAGAGCATCAAACTCTTAATCTGAGGGTCCAGGGTTCGAACCCCCTGTTTGGGTGAAAAAAAAAAAAGAAAAGAAAACACATTGTCCTTTTAGGACAACAGCACAGGAGAGTTCTGTGTGTATAAAAAGGTCTCCAAACGTGCTCTCCAAACGTGCGGTTAACTTGCCCCTACTTTCGCTAGCGCTACCCCCCACTACATTGAAATTTCCTCGAGTGGGGATCATGTAGTGGAGAGATAGATACAATGGAGGGGGTAGCGATCAGCAAAGTGGGGGTACGAGCCGCCAGTTATTAACCCATTCACTGCCAGGCAAATTTAGAGCGTTTTGCCCTGGGCGCCAAGATTTTATTTTATGGAAAACACGTACACACATAAAATGTAGGTTTTGACTAGTTTTCGCAGTTTCCAGCGTTACAGAGGGAGAACACAAACTTTGTCCATAGATAGATCTTGGTTACCTGACTGCCACCAGTTGACCGAAACTCAGGCTGACTTGGCGCACTTGCGCGATGAAGATCGCAGCCACCGCCTCGTACAACGCTGTGCCGTCCATGTTGATGGTGGCGCCGATCGGTAGGACAAACCTGGTGATCCGCGGATCGACGTTGTTTCGCTCTTCCAGGCAGTTGATGGCGATCGGCAGCGTCGCTGAGCTCGAGGACGTGCCGAACGCGGTGACCAACGCCTGGGCCAGGTTCGATATGTACACGTACGGGTTCTTTCTCGTTATTATAAAGTACAGCATGGGGAGAACTATAAAACCGTGTATGAAGAGGCCGATCAAGACGGTGAGGAAGTACATTCCCAGCTGAGCGACTACCTCGTCCAGCGACTGCATCTCGGTGATCTTGGCGGCTACCAGGAAGAGAACGCCCACCGGCGACAACCTGCAGAATAAAATCGTTCTGTCAGAAAGTCAAAAATCAACCTACCCTCGCGATCAATTAATCACGTAATTAACCCTTCATCATGCTGTCAGGGACAACTGTCACTTCATCGGATGAGGAGCATAACAGTTAAATCTTGTTGTACAATATAACGAATTGGTGAGGAAAAAATTGTACTTCAATACGTTTTATAGTAACAAGAGTTTTGTAAAATTGTTTAATGATATAATTTTGTACGAAATACAGCAGTCCCCACTTAAGCGTCCTCTCCTGCCCCGATACTGTGGACGATTAAGTGGGGAGAGATGTATTCTGTGAATTGGCATCGAAAGAAGGAATGAGGATTCCAGTACTGTTTACTACATTATTCGATCGTAAAGAAATTTAACATTTTGTTTGAACTGAGTACATTTAAATACACATACATACACACTTTTAAACTAAATAAACCAATAATTCAAGTGATTGTAATTTAAAATTCTCGAAGATTTATTGAAATTTCTAGAAAAATAGTTAAGCAATAATTATCAACGATTGAGTAGAAACCTGATTGAATAAAGATCTTGTTACATTTTCATTGATATTAAATTAACAATACATGTAGCATGATTCTATAATCGTATTAATAAATTGG